ACGTCCCTTCCTGACTTCTCGAGAGCTTACTAGATTCGGTATTCTTGTATATATAAGACGGTCACAAAGTGACGGCAACAATGTGTGTAATTCAACTGAGTATTGTTGAGTCGAGCACGTGAGACGTTCGTTGAGAATTATAGCGTTTGTTATAGTGCGACTGTTGAAATTAAGTGTATCGTAAAGTTATATTCAGAAAGAATAAACCAGTTTTATTTAAGAAAGGACTTCTATCGGTAAAGTTTCTTCGAAAATAATTTTTACGGAAAATTAACTAACGAACGGAGACGTAACATTATAAACAATCAGTCGAGTATATCCAAAAGAACTTGGAACAGAAAAAAGTAATAATAATAATAATATGTATGCTAATTATTTAGATTTGGGTATCGAATTAATAAATGGTAAAGCACAATTAAATATTTTTGATAAGAGAAGAGCATTTAGTTTTCCCATTCTTGGTCTGCCACCCCTAATAGTGTGGTTCCTCATATGACGCTGAAAGGTATAATTACGTCTCAATTAAAAAGATTTTTAATTGTTTGTAATAACAGCGCGTTTTTTATGGATAATGTTATATTATTCATAACTAAATTAGAAAATAATGGATGTAAATACTGGAAAATGAAAAAGTTTTTATAATAAATTTCAATATATTTTATTAGATAAATATTCAGTGAGGAAAAAAAAACATTTTTTTTGTCACTAAAGGTAATTAGCAGTCTTTATTATATAAGTTAAATTTATTCAGTATAGCCAGGACAGGAAAGAAGATGGGCTTGTCTTATCTTTCCTGTGCTATACTTGAATAATGTGACAATATCAACTATTTAAAGTAGGTTTTGTAGTTTTTTAAAGATATTTTATAATAAATAAGTCATTTTCAGAAAAAAGTGGAAGTTGGGAGTGACATGTAGTAGAATTATTAGGGTGGTATTTGTTCTACTTTGAGGATTTTTTAGAATTTTTAACGGTAGAGGATGGTAGGAATTGTTAAGTAGAAATATATTTTTTGGATTGGCTTGATTTTATCTTATTTCTACTTTAAACTATATTACATCTTATTAAGGGTAACTACCTTCCCACAACTGGCTGCAGGCACTAAGAGTTGAGACGTTGTGGGTTTAAACATTCAACTCTGTACCCTTAATGAATTTTCCACGACTGCTGACTGCTTTCTCATCTGCTTTTTGGATTTTGTCTGATAGATGGGATATCCCTAACGCTTTTGGGTACTATTACCACAGGCAATCTCTGTAATGACTTTTGGATATATATATATCATAATTAGCCATATTCATTACTGGAATAAATTGTAGTTTTGATTGATATAGGTAGCTTTATGTGACCAGAAGCTAATATTATTTTTGATACCTAGAATATCGGATAATATGGATCGAACTATAAAGTAATACAAGGAGTCAAAACGGATAAAGGATTATATCGCTTAGAGATTTTTGACTTTGTGGTATAGTCGTAGTTGGAAGACGAAAGGACAAAAATCAGAACATTGTTATGAGTTCTGTAACTTTAGAAGATGATCTTGAGAGAGAGTAAAAGGAAGTAAAATATCATTTGATCTAAAATTTTCTAAATCTGTAACACTCGTGGCAGGGATTGAAGAGAAGGAGAGGATTGTATCGCTTTTTTTTAACTTTTTTTATTTTGTCATCATCCAGGAAAAGAGCCACGACGTGAACAAAAGTAGCCTAATTTGAAGTCTATAATATATTCATAAGTCATTCTGTAGGACGTAAATCACGAATTTTGTAGTTGATTCTGAGTTCTCTCAAACCTATCGACTGAAAGAAATGCACTCGGTTTTATTTCATGGAAATGTGTGTGGGTCATTTATCTTGAAAGTGAATGGTTGCATGCATACATAGTAGGAATACGAAAAGACGTTTCAATGGAAAACATTGCACTCATCATGCTTGGTTAATGTTAGGTATAAGAACTTCAAAGAGCCTGAAACTGAGTTAACTGATAAACTTAAGTTTAGTAGTTAAATTGTACTCTGGATTTAGTGTAACGAATTTGTTATTATATATTTATTTGAAAATCAACGTTTGTTTAGATTACATTTATATTTAGAAACATACACAGCTTATTCCGTTAAATATGTATTGCAAAACTCCCGCCTATTCTCCAAAGTTATAGAAGATTCTCGAGAGTAAGAATCAACAATACATATATATATGCGTGTACGTAAACGCTTTAACTGATATTGTCATGTAAGATTGAAATTTCTAGAACGCCTCCACACAGCTATAAATATAACGAACGCAACGCGCCAAGAGGAGTATCTATTATTAGTTTGCTATAATCAGTGTGCTATAAAACTTTGGAAGCTATAAGTATAACTGTGATTGGTATAACGCTAATCAATCGGAAAACTTCAGATATTTGACCAGGAATATTCTT